TTAAATCTATATCAATAAAGATGATCTGACCCTTCAATTTAACTATTTGTGTTTATTTCTTCCATAGTTTAGACGTACTTAACTCCTTGCTAGCAAATAATCTTTGTTAACTTAATGACGAACAGTTTAAGCTTAACAAGGTTTTCCTCAAAATTCTAATATATTATAATCATCAGAAAAAACCATTTCCTGATATTGATTATTTAGTCCCCAAAATGTACATCGCATTTTACTTTGTTTCCCACCAGGTCGAAGGTTTATTCAATTAGCCAGAACGATATGCTGAATGATTTGAACTATTATCAAAAGCAAAAACTGCTATATAATTAGGAAATAAAGTCTCAAAGATTGGTATTGCTTTATATTCTACTTGTTCAAGTAAATGTTGAACAGTCCAGTAACCTTCTTGATTTTTACCAGGTATTAAATAAATACGTGCTTCCTCTGGTATAGTTGGATACTTTATAATATCTTCTTGACTTAAATATAAACATTCACAAGCTTCAGAAAGAAATTCGCTTATCATAATAAACCTTTCGTTACCTTTTTTTCATAATGTTAATTCACCATTTAAAGCCTAAATTCCTTTTTTGCCATCATTAGCATAAAAGATACACTCATTATGAATAACTAAAATGTTTTCTTTTTCATCATCCTTTAATTGAAAAGGAATATGTTTTATATCATTTCCATTATATTTTGCCATTAAAGTTTCATAATAAGCAATTTTTTTAAGAAATTCTTCTCAATAAATAATCACATTATCACTTTCATGTCTGTCATAATATATGCCTTTGCAATGTTGCTGGTAAAAAAATCCAAGAATATTAAGCCATCAGATAGCTGTTGTAGATAAAATAGATTTTCTTCTAATAATGCCTATTTCATTAAGAAGTATTTAGTCAACAAAATCTTTAAAAGATTTTGGTATGACTCCTTCACCTTGTAATTATATCCAAGTTTTGCATCTGTTAGCGATACCTTTATCATCAATTAAATACACAGTCTTTTGATGCTTTCTATGATAAACTGAAGGAAGATAACCAGTTTTTAACTAATTTTCTACCCATTTTCGAACCATTGTTGCTTTATAAAAATCTGCATTAATAAACACAATTTTAGTGGCCTCCATACTTACATCCATTTTTCCCTTTCTATTCTCATCTAATCTTTGAAGATACTCAAATATTGCCTTTTTTTATTATATTCTATGATAGACATCTTTTTGTGAGATTTTTCTAGTTCAGCTTTTAATGTTAAAACCTTTTGTAAGGTATTATCAAATATCTAGCTACCTTCTACATCAATATTATCTAAACCTTCTAAAATTTTATCACATATATCTGAAAGTAAAGTATGATTGAAATCTTTTGTTGCAAAAGAGAAATAATCAGTTATATTTTTTGTGTTGCTTGCTGCAATGGTATATATACCATTCAGATTCCATTTGTTATAATATGTTGATTTTTTGGTTGATCCAACAAGATAAGGACCATATTTTTGTTTTTCTAGTATTGCAATATCCTTTCAAACTAAATTTATTAACTTTTTCCTTCCTCCTTCCAACCCTTCCAACCTTCGTCTTTTCAGCCGTCATCCTCCCAACCACTATCCTCTTTATCTTCCCACTCATTAACTACCAAGCTCTCTTCAAGGTTTTTCTCAACCTCCTTAATTTAAAATTTTCATATATTTGATGGGTTTCTTTAAATTTCTTGGAAGTTCTGAATCTTCCATTTGTTTCACCTAGTTGGTTTTTGTGAATGCGCTTTTTCTTGAAAGTGAGAGGCATATAAAATAGAAACAATAATTTGAATGATCATTGTGTGTTTATGTAATATAAAATAATCACAGCATATTATGATAATATACTGTAAATCACAAAAATCAATTAGTCTGAAATTGCACAATTTCTATATAAATGCCTTAATTTTAAATATTAATAACTGCGGAAATTTATAATAAAACTCAAAAAGTAAGCTGATAATTTGTAGCTTATGTCTTAAGCTTTTATTTTATCGGGTTTGTTTTTTTATACATCATATAATTTAAAAAGTCATTAAAAATTTGGTCATGTGATTTTATTTTTTGAGTATAGATGGAATACATCATAGTAATTGATAGAATTTGATAGTTATATATAATTAATAATTCTTCTAAATATCCTAAATAGCTATATAGGAGGCGGTCAGTAAAAAAAGGTGAAAATCCAAAATTTTTGTTAATTTTAATTATTAAGCTAATTTTGTGTATATGATTGAGATCAACCAAGTGGTCTAATTAAGGTTGCTTGTCTAAACTCATTTTGGATTTGACAAAATGGTAAAACCTTTAGTTTTGCTAAATTTTTACTAAGTGTTTGATATAGTTTTGCCATTTTTATAAGCTTTGATATAGTTTTACTTTTTTCAAATTTCGCAGATTTTTTAATAAAGTTTTAATATAATTTAACCAAGTTTTACTTTTACCATTTAGATGTCTGTTTAAATTCTTGATTTTGTCTAACAACCTTAGGTCTAATAATATAAATTTTGACCAAAATTTAGATTTCCCCCTTTTTCTCTTATATGTTTTTTCTTTATAACTTTGTTTTTTTTCTTATTTTATTTTATTTTTTATTTTTCTATTTCATTATATTATTTATAATAAATTTCTTTTATTTCTATATATTACATTACTAATCTTTATGTATCATAATGATTATTTTATAAATCTTTATAAATTTGAGTAATTATATTATAAAGTTTTGTGAATCTTAGTGATTCTATTATATAGAAGCTTTATAATAGAAAAGTATAATACTATAAAAAAAATTTTTTTTGAGTAAATACTAAATTTTTAAAAATTATATTTAACTTATAAAGTAAAATTTTAATTTTTTAAGAGTATTATACCTTTTTATTGTAAAACACTTATATTTCTTTGTGAATTTGATAATTATATTACAAATCATCATAATTTTAATGAATCTTAATAATTATTTAATATTCTTAAATAACACAAGTTATAAATTTTAGAAATTTTAAATTATTTTGTAAATTATAAAAGAGTTAATACTCAAACATTCTATTTAATTGTAACGATCCATTAAAATTGCATGTTAACAGTTAATAGTAATTATATATACTTTTATCTTTTGATATTATTATAATAAAGATAATAAAAAAAAGTAAAGATCATTTTTTTTAATTATTATTAAATCTTAATTTATATAAAATAAAAATTTAATTTTTTTATGATTTTTCTTTTAATTATAAGTAAATTTGAACTTATTTTACTAAAAAAATCATATTTAGCTTACAAAGTAAAATTTTAATTTCTTTGTAATTTTCTTATTTTTTACTGCAAAGTTCGTTTTGCAATAAAAAAAATACAAGCTCCAATTTTACTTTTAGTATTATTATTAAATATAAATTTATTTTACTAAAAAATTATACTATATATACATAATCAAAACTTAATATAATAACTTTTTATATAATAATTATTTAATAAATTCTTATTTAACTGATTTTTTAAAATTTTTAGTTTTATTTTAATTTTAATAAAAAGATATTTTTTTATATCTTTTATATTAATTTAATAACTAAAATTTTGCTAATTAAGTATTAGATTTAATTAAATGTTAAATTTTTAGGCCGAAATATATTCAAAATTTTAGTATTAACTCATTTTTTATTTTTCCGGCCCTTTCTATTGTCAAAGATCTCAGATATTACGTAAGGTTTTTTTTTACTCTGAATATATTTTAAATCAGTATCAGTTTATCACATTAAGTTTATTTAATTTTTTCTTTAAAATTTAAAATTTATTTAATAATGATCTTAATTAGGATCAAAGAAAAATTTTATTACGATTTTACATTAATTTATATACTATTTACCATAAAAAGGTTTTTTCTCAATCGATTGGTAGTGTTGGTAACACGAACATTAAATCTTTTTATTCTAGTACCCAATTTTTTTTTATAGACCAACAGGTTCAATATAGACTTTTTTACAATAGAAAAATGGCAGATATACAATCACAAGCAAAAATTACCGAAAATTCTGTAGTAAATTCAAAAGCTGAAACACCAATGGTAGTTAATCAAAAGTTATTAAGTGCCTTAAATTATCTTCGTGATGAACTTGAAAAGGCTCAAAAAGAAAATAAGGAGTTATCAACGGAACGGACAACTTTATTGGAACAACTGGAAACAGAGAAGAACAAGAACTTTATTGTAATAAATAGTAATAGTAATGGGATAGAAGATAATAATAATATTCACCATACGGACAATAGTGAGGAATCTGCTTTTTCAGAGGTGGGTGACGACGGTGACAATGATCATGAAAAAAAAAAGTTGATTGAAGAATTAAGAGCACAAGTAGATCAATTTGAAAAGGAAAATAAAGAAACTATAGCAAATGGACAACAGGAACGAGATAAGTTGCAATTGCAACTTGATCAAACAAGGGAAGAGAAGAATCAATTGGAAGTACAACATCAAAGTTTAATTGCGAAATTAGCCAATTTTAAAACATCCATAGCTGATAAATTGAAAGCGGATAATGTATAGACTTTTTTTTTTTGCTTAAAAAATTTATATTTTATAATAAATTAAATAAATAAATTTTTTTTTATACATATGTAATATAATATATTTAGGAAGAACTTAATAGGAAGAAACAACAAATTAATGAATTGAATGAACATAATAAAGAACTTAATAACACTATTTTGAAGCTACAAGGTGATCTATCTACTTCTCTGGATGAGAATGAGAGATCATCGCAACAATTAGAATCTTTACAATCACATATTTTTGAGATGCAACAACAATCTTCACATGAAATTTCCGAAAAAGATGATATAATTCGTGATTTACAACATAATTTAGACCGTACAGAAAGGGAACGGGAAGAATGGGAGGTTAATGCTATGGAATTAAAAAGCGCAAAAGATGAATTACTTATACGTATAAAACATTTAGAAAGAGAAATGGATGCCTTGAGACTTGAGAAAGAAAATTTAAGAGCCGAGAAGAACAGTGAATCTGAGAGTTTAGCTAATTTACAGAATGTCCTGGAAGAATTCGAAGCAGGTAAACCTGATTAACATTTTATAATGATCAAATTATTTTTTACATTCAAAGGGAAATTTTTTGAATTTTGATTTAAATTATTTCATGATAAGCTAAACAATCTGAGATTAGAGAAGCTGTTGAAGGAATACAAAGACGACTTGCCACTGCTACTAAAGAACTAGCAGAGTTTAAAGAGCGTGCGTTATTGGCTGAAGTAAGTTAATGGAATTTTCATATTATAATTTTTTTTAAAAAAAAAGATGAATTTTGTTTTGTCAACATTAAATGATCATACATTTAGAATCAATTAGCACAAATAAAAGAGGAGATTGGCAAAACATCACAATATGAAAAAGAAATCAAGGAAAAGAATTTATTAATTGGAAAGTTGCGACATGAAGGTATTGTCTAATTATATTAGATTTAATAAAGATTATTCATATTTTATTCATTTTATTTAAATTTTTTTTTTATAGCCGTAATATTGAATAAACATCTTACCGAAGCTTTGCGTCGTATGAGGGAAGAGAGTAGTGAGAATAATGTGGACAAGTTAGTTGCATAATTTCCATGTGATTTTTATTTATTAAATAATTTTTTGCCAAAAAAAAATCATTATAATAATTTAAATTTTCTTAGACGTCTTATCACCAACCTTTTGATCGCTTTCTTCAACACACCACGTGGAGATAGTAAAAGATACGAAATTTTACAATTGATGGCAAATATGTTGCATTGGACAGAGGAACAAAAAGAACAAGTAGGTTTGATAAGAAGAGCATTGACCAACCGGTCTGTAGAAGATCGATCAAATGGATGGGTATCAGGATTGTGGACCCCTACTATTGAGAGAACACGGAGTCGATTATCAGAAGAAGTTCCCAGACCAACTATTCGTATATCTGAAGATGAAGGTCCCAAAGAGGTATTTTTTTTTCCTTAAAAATTATTTTTTTTAATGCATATTTTCTTTTAACCTTATATTATTTTATTTATAATTTAGTCATTTTCTGATATGTGGATATCATTTTTACTTAAAGAAGTCAGTAAAGACAATAAACCTATTAGTAATAGTAATAATAATAGTAATTATAGTAATAGTTCAAATTCAAAATAAGGATAATTTTAATTTCGGCTCTGTGAGCTATAATAAAGGAATCCATTTAATAATCATAGTAATTTATTATAATGAAGGTATTTTATATAACCATATGCACTTTTATCTAGAAAGATATCAATAAACCTTTTTTTATGGTTTGTGAAGATAATGGCTTGGAGAATAATGACGATTGGGAAGAATCACTTATAAGTTAGACAAAAGACATTTGTGTAAATTTGATATTTGTAATTAAATTTATCAAAATTTGCTGCTAATTATTAGTACAAAAAATAAATTAGAGTATATCTCGATATTTTTTATCAAAATACTAATATACAACTTTGATAAAATTATCCGCACTTTATCATTCATGAAATCGGGTTTATTTGATCTAATATGTTATAAATATGTAACGGACAACAATAATTAATTGGGATCTTTTAAAAGGTTGAGCTCTATATTTTTCTTGGTAGCGATTAGTACTAACGTCCTCGTTGTGCAACTCGGGTACTACTAGTTGCGGACCAGTTTTAGTAAAATTTTTCTTCTCTTTATTGTCACTTTTTTCTTGGCGGTCTGGGCATTTGGAAGTTTTGGTAACCAGTTTCTATCTGGTCGAAAAGTATATACATAACTCCAGAACCAGTTAGACCTTTTACTGCTGTTTTCAAAAACTTTTGTTAAAAGTTTATATACTGTTCATGGTAAAAAATTTAATGTTGTTTTTAAATTATATGTGAGGAGAGGGAACATTAAAACAGAATGTGCTTATGAAAGACTGTGTTAGAGGAGGAAAGAGGGAGAGAGAGAAAAAAAGAAGGGAAACAGGAAAATAGGAAAAGATAAAAAATAAGATATGTAGGAATGATGATTAACAACCATGAAAAAATGATTTATTTTACCGAAATATATTGAATATAATATTGTGCCAATAAATAAAAATTGATTTAATTTAATTTTCTTTTCTATACCAAAAATATAACAGTTCGCCCTCCCACCATCTCGAGATAGTTGTCACCATTAATTATCATCCATCTCGAGACGGTCATCGGAATCATAGTATTCGTCGCTACCGGTTGCCGATGTTTACCCCTTTCGACTTTAAGAAGTTTTTCGTTATCTTTAACATATTCTCTGCCACCTGATTTTTCGACATTGGTATTGAAGAATATGTTTAGTTGTTTGATTCAAGAGGTGCAACCATTCAAAATGCTGCACCTAATCATCATATTTTCAATTTTGTTGTACTTTTGCCGAATAATAAACCTCAACTGATCGTCACGAGAGATCGTATATAGCGATGACAGACTTTTCGTTCTGGGTTTTCTTCGTCTATCTCGCTTATTTCAGAAGAATAATACAGTCAGACCTCCATATAGTCACCTAATCAGTTTTTTCAAAACTGGTGATTGTATAGAGGTGTGACTGTAAAAGGTAATTCCTATACAATTAAAAAATCATGTGCGGTGACTATATAAAAAATCTGGACCACACCAGATTTAATGATGGTTCCTGTTACCTAGTCTTGAAAAATGCAGCAATAGTTATTTTTAGAACACTTTATTAATGTAAATTTAAATGTGATATAAATGCTATGTAAATTACATCAACCACTAAAAAAATCTGTAATCAAAACTTGCTTTCGAGATTGTAGTTCAAGTTGTTCGACTATTTTAAAATATTTGTTAAAGATCTTCATATCTGCTACATAAAATTCATCCATTTGCTATTGCTCAAAAAATGTAATCCATGTTTGTAAAGATTTGAAAGCATTGTTTAAGGATACTAGTGTTTGTTCTTCTTCAGAATCACTATTTTCATTACTTTTATTATGCATTTCCTCTCTATCAAGTTTTATAATATCATTTTCATCCAAAATATCTTCAGTTGGAATTCCTCCAAGTCATTAAGAAAATCATTAATATATCTGCCAATAAAGTTACACAAGGATCATTTATATTGAGTTCTTTAATTATTTGATTAATATTTGTTTCTTCTTCTTCTTGTTAGATTTGTAATACATCATTTATATTTTCATTAATCAAAGAGGAAAAAATTCTGGTTTCTTTCTAACAATTTTGAATTGTTTCTTCAATTACATAACCATATACTTTTGCAATATAATTTATTGCTTTTTTAATACTAATTTTTTCTTATTAATGTCTTTTTCATCTTCAAAAGATATAGCATATAATGATAGTATTTTTCTTTTAAAATAGCTCTTAAAATTTGCAATAATTCTAATATCAAGTGGTTGAAGATGATTTATAGTGTTTAGAAATAAAAAAATAGCCTCAATATGAGTTAGTTGCTGAAAAATATTTGATTCACTACTATGACTGACTATTATGACCTCTTGGTCTACTATTATGATAATTATAATCACTTGATCCACCATCATGACTACTATAACTGCTTGATTTATTACTACAACTATCATAATCTCTTGATCTACTACTATGACTATCATAATCACTTGAGCTATTAGTTGCAAATTTAATTTTACCAAGCACTTCTTTGAAAACTAAAGAATTTATCTACACTTTCAGATTTTTATGATAGTAAACTGAAAGGAATCCTAAATTAATCTTCGAAAATGATCTTAAATGTTTTGCATTATTAATTACTCACAGTTTGAGCTTAACTGTTCCAATTGCATTAACATCAAGAAACACAATAATTTTTAACTTACTTTTTTCAACCAGGAACAGGTTTAGTAAAAAGAGTTTAACTGGAATACATTCAATAAAAAAAATCCTTTTTAGTAAGTAAATTAAAAATTAGTTTTAAAAGAATAATAACATAAATAAAATAAAAACTTTTTTAAAAACGTACTGTTCAATCAATGTTGTAAATTCTATCAAAAGTATATCAACCTAAAATTAATTGTAATTTTGCTTGTTCCTCTAGAAATAATGCTAAATAGTACACTTTTTGACTCTTTATATATATGATACTTATAAATATTATTACGTTTCTTAACCTAATAATCAAACTTCTACTAACTGCTTAACTGAACTAAGCAAAAAAATTATTTCTTACTACCGAGAAGAAACCCCCAAAAATTACACCATCTATTCTTTGGTAGGCTCTTATATAACCAACTATTAGAAAACACATATTCATTTTTTTGTATATTAAATATTAGGGTTTCACAATTTGATTTGATATTTGAATATTCAATTTGAAAATCAAATCAGATACAAATTCAAATTAATAATTGATTTAATTCAATCAAATTCAAAATCAAAAAAAAATTTATTTGATCAAATATGAATTAATCTTTGATTGATTTGATTAAATTCAAATTAAAGAAATTTTATTTAATTAAATACAAATTAATCTTCAAATATTTGATTTGATTTGCAAATTGTATATAAGCATTTTCTACTAATATTTTAATATGGTTGAAGTTTTCTATAGCAAATTTTAATTTTTAGAGAATACAATTTGTTATTCCTTAGACTGTATAGCAGGCAAATTTGTCTGCAAAATTAAAAAAAATGTTAATTTCTTTATAAAATGTTAAATATTAATTTTAGTAAAATTATTACTATATAAAAAATAAAGTTTAATATATATTTTATCAACTTTATTAACAAAGATTTTAAGTTTTTAAAAATTCTTTAAAAATTTATATGTTTGCATACTAATTGAATCACTTTATCATTAATTAAAATCATAAAATTTTTTAATAAATTATAAAAATTATAATAATAAAAGTTTTTCTTTATAAGTAATTTTATAATATTCTAT